CAAGTTGTAATATGGTGCTACGAATGGCGAGACTCACTGACGATGCTGGCAAAACATCTGGGAATGTACCACGTCCATGGTCCTACTCTGGAAATGATGATGCATACAATGGACTCCGGACTAAGTGCGTTCCTCTAACTCTTCCTACCAATATGACCTATTTCACTTTCAGCGACTGCATTTATGAGCAAATATTTGTTTTGCCTATGGGCTCACCACTCTCACTTCTGTTAGCTAATATCTTCATGGGCAAGTTGGAGGAGAACTTCAAAATGTCACTCCAACAGGCAATAGTAATTATGCGATATTTGGATGACTAATTAGCAATTTGGTTGACTGGAAGGAAAAAATTATAAGATTTTCTGATCTTCTTAATCGAAATGGATGAAAAAGTCAAATTTACTATGAATGTGGAAGAGGAGATAAGATAAAGCTTTCCTAAAAGTAATCGCATGCTGTAGTAACTCTTAACTTAACAGGAAAGCGACTATGCAGAAAAATGGATACGAAAAGATCGGAGATATCTGAAGACATCGCCCTTACCGGCAACATAATTGACTGGATTGCAACGGAAATATTGGTTTCATATAAAGAAAACATCAGGAAAAGGAATATCAGGGAGGCTGTAGACATCTTCTTTCAAAGAAACCTGACGAACAGGAGATTAGAAGAGGCAAGAGTCGGCGATAATTTCGCGTACTGCCTGAGCAGAATTGGAGATTAAACGAATACATAAAAAAGACGCTTGGACCAAGGACAACTGTTCGACAAAAGGAAGAGACATCACCAAGAAGCGGCTCATGAGAAACAAATGGAAGCCAAGAAAAGGCGACTGCAGTGAAAGGAGTCAGATGTGGAATTGACCCAAAAAGTACCCAGAGGGTTCACCTGCGTATGATGTAGGATATTAAATTAAAGGCTAAAGGTATAGGCGGGCTAGAGATAGGTTACAAGTGTGTGCGCGTAGTTGTGTGCATTTTTCATATATGTGTATGAACGGGAGATGACTGGTGAAATGCTTCACCATGGGGGATACCAAACAACACACACACACACAGGAACGTCATTTCAGTACTCTAGGATTAGATGGGAATGTCAACTTGAAAGACAAGAGGAGGGTGTTTTACACGATTAATTCTCATACTAGCGGTTAAGACATAAGCCGGACACAGGTCCACAAAGAACGACACTGCGGATGAGGAAGAGAATAACTGAGTCACGGATTAGGAGCCTAGGGAGAGGAAGATTTCCAGGCAATGGCATGGCCAAGGACATGGGCATCATCTGCTCTAACTCATCGAATATGGCATAATCGAGGACGAGAATTGAAGGCTCTTAGGCAGCCAGATTTTAGACAACCAAACTTCGTAGT